CATGAGCCACAATATAAAATATCTTGGGGTAACCTTAAACAAGTCAGTGTGCGGGCTTTGGTGTGGGAGGAAAAGATAAATGGAGGGCACAGGGAGAGTCTACTGGAACTGGAGGGTATTTGGGAGGCTATGTGGAAAACTAGTATAGTGGAAACTTCCTGTAACCTGTGAGGATGACCCTAGTCAGGACTTATAGCAATGGAGGATAAGGACTAGAGCATGATCAGGTCACCTTCTGTTGCCAGGATAGGATTCTAGTGGTGAGACCAGGAGACCAACTCAGCCACAAAACTTTCTATGTACAACATGTCCTGCCTGCAAGTTGTGCTGGGGTGATGAAGGCTCAGAGCTTGTGGGAATGGCCAACCAATGACTGGTTTAACTTGAGGTCAGTGCCACAAGAATGAACCTAGGCTGGACACTTCTTGGATAGCCAGAAAATGGAAGCTGGAGAGTCCAGGTCACCATGAATCTTCATAGTGTCAAGACCTTCAGAGTGACAGCCTTGATTGCTCTTCCTTGTGGACCAGTAAAGAGTAAATTGCAAGGAATGCTTCTGCTCCCTGTGACACTTATTTTAGGGCCTAACATTTAGGCATATGTGGCCTCACTCTTCTTAATCCTGGGCAGATGAGGAGCTGCATTCGAATTGACTTTTCTAGTCATCAACATGGTGTGTGGCTTTATATCACTTCTCATCTGACCAGCCGGGCAGTCTTCCCTTTTTCTTGTAAATTTCAAAACCAGAGGCTCTGATGTGTTACTCGCCCATGTAATCTTAATAATCTATATTACTTTATACATTAATTAATGTCATCTTATCATGGAGATTTTTTTTTCATGCTCCATAGTCTTAGATCTAATTGCTTGTTCCATCAATTTTCAGTCAAATCAACTCTAATTGCAGGCTCCTGTGCTTCTGCGGTTGTATGGGTCTCTATCTTATGGGGTAGAAGGGGAATCTTCAGAGTTTTGTTGCCAAATGTGGTTGCACTACCAAATTCACTGCCATTCTTAGCAGAGCAGTTTGATTGTCAAGTTTCTCTTGGGCTTTACTTCTTTCTCATTAGAATATTTAAGCGAGAGACATTGGACAGCAGCCCTGAGCAATTTTCTGTTACATTGGTCTTTTCTTCTCTGTGATCTTTCTGTGCTCATGTTTCAAAATCAAGGCTCAGGGAGAGGAGTGTCAATCTCTTCTCTACCCTTCCTGTCCAGCATTTTAGAGTCATTCATGTGTTATGTGTGTGTGTGTACTATTGTGAAATTGTGTGTGTGTGCATACACGTTCCTGTGTGTGTATACAAATGGATATGTATATAACGTGCATATGTTAATGAGAGAGCACTCTTTTGGTGTCTTTTCCTTTCCAAATATGGACAACTAAAAGGGACTGAACTTGAATTTCTCACTGTATCAGGTAAGATTAATTTTTATATGCTCTAACATGTCAAATACTATTTTTAATAATTTTTAAAAAGCAAATCTTCTCAAGTATGAAAAAAATCTTTAGAATCCTGGTCACAACACATTCTCTAAGAGGAAACAAGGAAGAACAAATGTGAGCTTGTGATCAGCTTGATTTCTACACTCTGTGTAATTCAGGATCCCAGGCCTATGGAACTGTCCTGCCCATAGTCAGAAATGGATCTTCTCCCATCATTTAGCACAGCTAAACAAGTCCACAAAGGCATGAACAGAAGCCCATCACCTGGTAATTCTAGAGTCTGTCCAGTGGACAGTTAACAATAATTATCATAGTTTTATTACATGCATTTATTTTGACATTCTGAAATATTCTTGTTTCTTTGGAATGAAACCAACTGGATCATACTGTATTGTTTTTTAATGTATTATTTAATTAATTTTGCAAGTATTTTATTCAGGATAATCCTACTATGTTTTTGAAATGCACTGGACTGTTCTGCCATTGCTTTAAAACAATTTTTAAGAACTTTACATGTGAACATTACATCCCCATCATTCCTGCGTCTTCAACTTCCCTCGTTCCTCTCCTTTCCTTCCCAAATCCATAATCTCTCCTTTTTTCAATGAATATACAACTCTCTATGTCTATTCAGCACTGATTCTATGAATATGCGTCCTGGCCCAACCACTTGAAACTGAATAACCTATACATAACTCTCTCTGGAGGACATGGCTTCTCTCTCAGCAGCCACTGAAAACCTGTAGCTTTTCATTTTCATTCCTTTTTACAATTTTCCTCAAGGTTGGACCTTGTAGCAATTCCCCAGTCCTTGTCAGCATGTCAACTGGTAGTATCTTTATGTTAGACTTATTCACCCAATCATTGTTTTGAGATTTTGTGGCTGCGGATCCTCTGTCATGTCTAGAAGCTGGAGATGTTCTGGTCCTCTGGCTTTTTTACATTCTTTCTAGTCCCTTTCTGGGATTTCTTCTGAGCTATAGGTTTAGCACTAAATACCTACATAAAGTACATGGAGAAAGCTCACACTAGTGACTTAACAAAACACCTGAAAGCTCTAGAACAAAAAGCAGCAAATTTACTTATGAGGAGTAGATGCCAAAAAATAATTAAGTTGAGGGCTGGAATCAATTAAAAAAAAGAAACAAAGAAAACAATAAAAGGAATCAATGAAACAGAGTTTGTTCTTCAAGAAAATCAATAAGATACATAAACACTTATGCAAACTAACCAGTAGGCAAAGAAAGAATATTCAAATTTAAAAAATCAGAAAGGAAAAAGGGGGTCATAACAATACCAGCTGAGGAAATCCAGATAATCATTAGGTCCTACTTCTAAAATCTTTATTCCACAAAATTGGAAAATATGAAATAAATGGACAATTTTTTGCATAGGTACCACATACCAAAATTTATATTAAGATGAGATGAACAATTTAAATAGATCTCTAGCCCCTAATTAAATGTAAGCAGTCATAAAAAGCCTCCTATCAAAAAGAGTCCAGGGCTCAGAATTCTACTAGAATTTCAAAGAAGATCTAATACCAGTACTCCTAAATTTGTTCCACAAAATAGAAACACAACAAACACTGACAAAGACTTTTTATGAGTCTATAGTTACCCTGATATCCAAACCACAAAAAGATGCAACTAAGAGAATTACAGATCAATCTCACTCATGAACATTGATGCAAAAATACTCAATAAAATACTAGCAAACCGAATTCAAGAACACATCCAAAAAAATCATCCATCATAATCAAGATGTAGGGTTGGCTTAATACATGAAAATTGGTCAATGTAATCCACCATATAAATAAACTTAAAGAAGAAACCATATGATTATCTCATTAGATGTTGAAAAAACACTTGACAAAAACCTCTTCATGATAAATGTATTGGAGAGATCAGAGATACAAGGAACTTACCTAAATATAATAAAGGCAATACACAACAATCCAATAGTCAACATAAAACCAAATGGAAATAAACTCAAGTCCTTTATAACAAGACAAGAGTGTCCACTCTCTCTGTATCTATTCAATATATTACTGTAATTTCTAGCTAAAGTAATAAGAGAACAACAATAAAAAAATCAAGGGGATGCAAATTGGAAAGAAGTCAAACTTTTGTTATTTTCAGTTTTGATATGATAATAAACATAAATGACCCCCAAAACTCTACCAGGGAACTCCTACAGCTGATAAACACCTTTAGTGATGTGACAGGATACAAGATTAACTTAAATAAATCAGTAGTCTTCCTACATACAAATGATAAATGGTCTGAGAAAGAAATCAGAGAAACATCACCCTTTGCAATAGCAAATAACAAATATTTTTGGGTAACTCTAACCAAACAAGTGAAACTCGTCAGAGTTGATACTCTGACCTTCCAAGTAGAAAAACCTCAAGAAAACTAAAATAAAAAAAAATTACACCATGGCAAAAAGAAAAGAATTGGGTACAAGATCAAGATAAAAACAAGTCAATTGGCAAGTTTCCCACATCAAAATCTCCATAGAAAGAAGTACTAGACTATGAATGCTTCATTTGCCTTGAGAAATTTCTGCTCTAAGAGTGTCAAGGAGACATTCTGTGATGAAGATCCCAACAGTTTCAGAGCTTTTCTTTATGTGCTCAGAATGCACAGTGAAGATTTAGGGGGCAGTAACCCTACCAGGTCTCCAGGCTGCTGGTATAGGAGTAGCCATTGTATTGTAATAGAGAGGGCTGTTCTATTTACAAAGGCCAATCTTCAAGAACAAGTACTTCACCAGCCCCTTATCTGAGGTTTGCTAGACACTTACTGACTTGAATGATTATGAACATCAAGCTTAGACTTGCTTTACTTTTCCATATGGAGAAAAGGACATAGGTATGCCTGAGCAAAGCCTGGACAAGACTGGGCTTGGCAACATTCAGTCATAGTTGAGGGAGGATCTCTAAGACTTGGGCCCTCTATAGGAAGGCATTGGCAGTTAAGAGCTGTTGAAGGTGGGGGAGTCACTATCTTCAGTGCCTTAGCTGCTGGTGATTGCCTTTGCTCCAGGGGTCATTTTAGTCATGGCCATGTGTGCAGCCCAGGTCAGTTCCAGGGGGTCACTAACAACTAAACAAAAAAGACATGAAGCAGGAGAGTGAGTTATTGGAAGAGATTTTATGGTTCATGGACAATGAACAAAATAAGAGAGTCTGTGAATGAGTGTGATCAAAAATCTACTAGATACTTGTTTGAAATTATCAAAAAAGAATTTATTAAGGGAAAAACCAAGAGAGTTAATAGTTTATAACCTCAAAGGTTCAAGTTCTGAAGTTTAAAGCATTTCCATTCACATTTGATTAGACTACCATGAACCTATGAGTGGCCTATGATTATTTTACTGGCAATCCGGCTAAGAAATAACATACACTTTTAAAGAAAGAAAGGTTGAGCCATTAGTTCTGAAGTGATGCTAAGTACTAACTGCCTGCTTCTTCCATAGTTTGTTCAGAATAGTTTCTTTGTTGCCTCTGGACAGTTTTAGCATTTTGCTAGAAGGAGGAGAGATTGATTTACTAAGTTTATTGTGTTTATTTAGAGTTTTCACTCTTCTTTTGTTTTGGAAGTTAATTAAATATAATTCGGTACTTGAAAGAGCCTAATAAGAGGCACTGAAGGTAGGATATCAGGAGGCTCCTGATTAAATTTAATGGGAAACCAACACATTTGCCACTCTTCTCATAAAGTCGTCCAACTCTAAGATGACTTTACTAGTAAAATTTTCCTGTTGTTGATCAACTCTGGTGCCTGCAGCCTTATTGGCCATGTTATGGGAGTTTACTGGATCCTCTTGATGATTGTTAGTGCACAATTTTCTCACAGCAGTCAAAACTGTAGACAGGTATGAATTGTTTTGGTTAGCATCGATAATGTCATCAATTGATGTTTCATCTTGATGGGACACACAGAACATCCTCTTCAAGGCTTCTATATCATTTTCTTCATCTTGGCAGTCAATCTTGTCCAAACAGTTTTTTACATTTCTTTTGTGTTCAGCAGGTATGAGGGATTGTTTCTGTGGCAGAACCTGAGGTAAAGAAAACTTATTACAACGATCTTTATATTAGCAAATATAAGACTTATCCATTTGTATTTGTATAAGATGCAGTAAGATGGGAAGTGTTGATGAGCTCATGACTCATCCAAGATAACAAAGGGAACATTGACTTCTTGGCATCTGTAGTTGGAGAGAATTTGACTCAGTGCAAGAACAGACTTCTTATTCAATACTCTATCAGGAGTATTTCAAAGATTTTGAACAAATTCTCCAGGGCTACTCCACAGCCAGCTTTCAGATACTAACACACACACAGACACAGACACAGACACAGACAGACACAGACAAACAATTTTCTGGTTGATTTTGAAAGAATAAATTGATCTAGGAAAGTGACTGTTTCTTAGTTTTTTCAAGTTAATGATGGAAATACAACTGATAAACTATTAACAATGGTTCAAATTGACATATTATCTTGTAGATGTGTGTATATGAGGATTAAGTGCAGGCATAGAACAATATTCATGAAATGTCTGAACAAGGTCTAAAGATGGTTTTTCACCACAATGTGGTGGCCTATAGGCAAATGAAATATTTTAAGTATATGTGAACAGTAATAGTGTCATTATTTATTTCAAAACTCAAAATTGGTTTTCTTAGGGAAAAAATAATAATATTTTTTTTTACCTTTCAAGCATTCTTCTTATGTATATAAAATTCTTCTGATGAGAGCTGTTTTCTAGTATCAGTTGAGTTATTAGTAGGAAGGCAGACATTTTTACAATTTCTCTAAGATTATATATTAACTATAGCATCTCTACTGACTTCATCTTTAATGAATAATATGGCATCAAATAATAAGTAACTGTCGGAATGACATAGAGGAAGGAGGGGCTACTTATCTCATGAGATTGCAGAAACCTTCACATGTTAAAGAATTTAAAGAATAATTTTGGCAGTTGGTCCTCAGATTAAACTTTATTTGAGACAAGGATTCATCTACTTGTATCTAGCATTTCACAGTGGGAGTATTGCAATTAAAGATAAGCTTTATATCTAAAGTCAAGTTTTAATGCTTTACCTACTGATGAATATCTCAAGCCCCTTGGTGTGCATCTTTGATGTTGGATAAGGACCATGTATTTATGGTGTTTTTCACTTTTCAAATGTCCAGTTCCCACATGATACTGGTGGGTGCTATACCTGCCAGTGAGAGGCAGTACATCCTTATTATTTTATCAATGAAACACTTTTAATTCATTCAAGATCCCAATGAAATTTGGTGCCCAACAGACATTCTGGATTCCTGTACTCTCCAAGCAGTGTACCATTTCACAATGTTTTTTGGTAGATCTGAAATAATTATCCATTTTAAACTTACCCTTCCCTCGGTGAGAATAGATGACAATGGCAGAGTTATGAGAAAAAACATCACTGGGAAAGAAGCCATGACTGGTGGCTGAAACTAATCAACAAAAAAGTTCTGGTTAATTAAGCAGTGGGTGGGACAGACCTCACTAACACATTGATAGAAATTATGCCGAAGCAAAAATGGCTGACAAATTCATTAACGATATACAGGGATTATTGTCATGTGTGGTTGTTGTATTTTCAGCTTGCTCACTTTGCCTCTAATAGACACAATACATGAACTGAAGGACTTGACTGATGTCCCTGATCCTTATACTTGCAAAGGTTCGAGAATTCCTAGTTTCTTTCTGTACAGTTCTATTTTTTTGTTCTCAAAGGGAAATATGAAAAAATAAAGTTTCAATATTTTCTAATTTTATGCTTATTTTGTACCATTGCTAATTATGTGTTTTCTTATTTATAGTTTTCTTCTGTGCTGGACATAAATTAAAGTGCCAGTGTTTTGCTTACAATGCTATAAATATGCAAACATCTCAGAAGTTTCATCTCTGATGAGCCAGTGAAAGTTATGCCAATTTTGACTTATATTAATATCAACTTTTACTATTTTCCTTTAATGTGGAATAACAATACAACTAGCAATTGTATATCTATTCTATTTAAGATCACTCCATCCATGTTTTTTTTTGCTTAATTTTTTTTTTTTTTTTGGTTTTTCGAGACAGGGTTTCTCTGTGGCTTTGGAGTCTGTCCTGGAACTAGCTCTGTAGACCAGGCTGATCTCGAACTCACAGAGATCCGCCTGCCTCTGCCTCCCGAGTGCTGGGATTAAAGGCGTGCGCCACCATCGCCCGACTTCCATCCATGTTTTGTTAGATGGGTTGTTCCACATTTTCATTGTTTTAAACACACTCCATTCAAGCACAAAATGTCCCTTCTCAATGAATTACCATTCCTATATCCTTTAGATGCTGCTAATGACAGCTTATAGTGTTAGTTGCACTCACTTTTCTATTGGAACTCATAAAACAGATTGCATGGTAAATTCAAGGTTTACTGTCTTATTTTTGTATATATTTTGTACTTTCAAAATCCTCAAAATATTTTCTTTTCTTGAAGAAGTCTGCAATTTGCTCAATCACAATGAATATACATTTTATCAAAGATTCAGTACATTTTACATTTTATACCATTTCCCCTTCCCTTTCTTCCATTCCAGCCTTCCCATGCATTAAGAAGTCTTAATGCACTCTTTGAAACTCACCACCTGTATTTCATTGCAATTCAGGACTAAAATTTTAGTCAAATGAACCCACAGAAATCTGTCATGTCTTTTCCTGTGGTCTTCTCTCATAGACACCAATAAGTGCCCACGATCTTGAAAAAATTCCAGGTCATCATGGGTCGTCACATACTCAGTGCGCAGATCTTCCAAAGTGACAGCCTTGATTCTGCTTCCTTGTGAACCAGTAAAAAGTGAATTGTGAGGAATGCTTCTGTTCCCTGTGACACTTACTTTAGGGCCTAACATTTAGGCAGCATGGGGCCTCACTCTTCTTAATCCTGGACAGATGAGGGGCTGCCTTAGAATTGACTTTTCTAGTTGTCAGCATGGTATGTTGGTCTATATTACTTTCATCTGACCAGCTGGGCATTTCCCTGTAAATTTCAAAGCCAGAGGCTCTGATATTCACTAGCCCATGAAGTCTTAACCATGTACATACTGTCATCTTACCTTGGAAGTTCCTTTCATGCTCCACAGCCCTAGCTCGAATTGCTTTCAGTATGGTCAGCTCTTATTGCAGACTCCTGTACTTCTGAGGTTGTACAGGTTTCTATTTTATTGGGTACGGGGCGGGTCTTTAGAATTTTGTTTCCATGTGTAGTTGTACTATTGGCTGCTGTTCTCAGCAGAAGAGTTTGATTGTAGTGTTTCTGTTTGATTTTGCTACTTGTTATTTAGACTATTTGATAGAATGACGTTGCACAGCAGCCCTGAGCAACTTTCTGTTACATTGACTGTCTCTTCTCCCGGGGATCTTTCTTTGCTGGTTTTTAATAACAAGACACAGGGAGAGGAGTTTTGCCCTCTTTTCTACCCTTCTTGTCTAGCACTGTAGGTAGCGGTTTGCTTTACCCATTATAACTGTATTATCCAATGTTTGTTTATTTTGTCTGATATTATTTTTCATTGTACAAAAAAGTTACCTTGCCATTCAATGTGTCTCACAGTTTTGATTACATGGACTTTATGACTTTGCTTATCAGAAGTGTGAGGATGAATATCTTGCATATCACCATAGAAACTTCATTTGGCAATGGATGAAACTAGAGACAGAGACCCACATTGGAACACTGGACTGAGCTCCTAAGATCCAAATGAGGAGCAGAAGGAGGGAGAACATGAACAAGGAAGTTAGGACCACAAGGTGTGCACCCACCCACTGAGATGGTGGGGCTGATCTAATGGGAGCTCACCAAGGCCAGCTGTATGATGGAGCATGTAATCAAACTGGACTCCCTGAATATTGCTGACAATGAGTGCTGACTGAGAAGCCAAGGACATTGGCACAGGGTTTTGATCCTACTGCATGTACTGACTATGTGGGAGCCTAGCCTGTTTGGATGCTCACCTTCCTAGACCTGAATGGAGGGGGGAAGACCTTGGACTTCCCACAGGGCAGGGAACCCTGATTGCTCTTTGGACTGGAGAGGGAGGGGTAGGGGAAGTGGGTAGATGGGGAAGGGAAATGGGAGGAGGTGGAAATTTTAATAATAATAATAATAAAAACACACAAAAATACTCTCTACAGGGTAAATTCTCAGTAACTAAATATTAAAATCTCTTTACTTCTCAAAAAAAGTTATGGAAGAAAATTTGTGGACAATAAATGCTAATCAAAACCATTATATACATAGAACACTTATCACACAATTTACTTTGTAGTAAAAATGCATGCTTGATATTTCTGAACAGTGAGCTTTCTTTCTTTATTCCAATTAACCAAAACAACATTTAACATAAAAAAACAGAATAATTAATGGAGTATGTATCATGCTAGCAATGAACCCACGTGTTTATGCCTGGTTTTGAAACTTTCTAACAATCATGTATGAAGTTTTTTTTCTTTACTTTGAGGAACATATTTATAAATCAGTAAGATCTTTTTTTATGGCTAAAACTATTCTGTTGAAATGATGTGATACAAACTAGGAACATGTAAAAGTTTTTCATAGTTCTATACATGCAAAATAAAATTTAATTAGGATTTTTTTGCATTAAAAGGACACTGTATCATTAAGCTATATTCCACACATGCAGTATTGTAGAAGGAGGCCAACAGCTAGCTAAAACTGGCTGTGACTGACTGGGAGTAACCCCCTCAAAACCAGTGGAGCATGCGCACTAGTAACTTCCCTATGAGCCAACTAGAAGTCTGCAGTGAGTGTAGTGAGTCCTGGAGACTGCTGACCTCATCATGACCTGGGCGACCAAGAGAGAGAGACAACACAACATTCCAGATTAGCACTGTTCCTCTGTCCCAGGAGTCGGTATAAAATCTTGCCCATACTCTCAATATGCAAGGCAGCTTTTGCTTCTCACCTGGCTCCTAGAGTCTATGTCATTGATTCCGTGCCTTCTCACTCCCTTCCCCATTGGATTTGGCCCCTGCTACACAGAGTAATCTAAGTTTTACAATTTTTTTTCAAGATATTAGAGGGAGAATAAATCATCCAATTTAGAAATAATATAATTTAGTTCCAATTTTTCCTATATGAGATTGATAAATATTATAAGCCTCGACACTGAATACAGTCACAAGTTTCTCTTGGAAATGTGGAAAATTCAAGTGTACAACACATGTAAATTTAGTTTGCAAGCCATTAGGTACTAAGGAAATGTGGATAGTACAAATGGCGTCTATTTCTAGCATTGTCTTTTCATTTGTACCTATATTCCCAGTGCTGGAGCATTACTCCACTTCCTCACATGCAAAATGTTTAACATGAGACTCATCCGCCATTTGCACTAAAATTCTTTCTTACAAAGAACTGTGAGGGTTACTCTTAACTTTCAGTTTGATTGAGTTTTCATCTAAGAAATTAGTAAAGTGTAGAACTGTGAATTGGTATAAGAATGTGTCTAGAGATACACAAAGGGTCAAACTAAATGCAGACAGCATCATTCAATAGTCGAAAATAAAAGAGAAGGAAGAAGCCAGTGCAATATCTGCATGTTCCTCTTTTCTTGGATACCATAAAATGAACAACTTGTGCCAAGATGGTTTTCAACCATTTGTGAAGTGGTGTGATTGAAGCAGCTTCTTTAGGAACTAGGACTGTGATTTGCCTGGGCAATATAAAGTGATATTACTGGAAGGAACATTTCTGAGGAATAAATGCACGAAAAATATAAATAAATAAATAAATAAATAAATAAATAAATAACAAAATAATAAAAACTGAAAGTCAGGTTGAGGCATAAAATGAAAAGGATCAGTGTATGATTTGAAAACGGAGTTAGAACTTATTTTAGGAGCATTCTATATAGGAGTATTACTTTTCAAGAGATTCCTTAGACTGATGAGAATCATTCTGAAAAACATAGAAGCATGTGGCAAAATAGCTAAGGCGTATTAAACACCTAGCTGAAGACACGATTTTGTTTAGGTAGGGAAGTGGCCATTACACCACAGACGGTCCTATAATCAAAAGAAGTTCCCTCTCATCATAAGAGACACTGGCAAAACACATCACTTGAGTGTATAACATGATTTGACTTCACATGAAAAATTAAAATGTCAAAATCTGTAATCACAATCTGACATCTAATATAGGGAGACCAGCAATTTTGGATTACAGTTATAACTACAATTGCAATCCATGGGTTACTTTCATTTTTATGAACATTGGAATAAATAAAAAAGTTCAAAGAAAAATTGAGAATCAGGTGAGTGATACATTTTTTTTTCTCGCTATGACTACAACTATTTCAGAGAAAAATTTTTAATATTAAAATTTGAAAGTAAACAACTACAGTTAATCTATAAGCTTTGTGTTAAAGACCAAGGAGATTTC